CACCATAAGCTACTACAAGATATTGAATAGATTTCCCTGTGCTATACAGCATAAACTTGTTTATTTTATATATTATAATTACATTTCTTCAAGAGAGTTTTTGATTCTAATAACTCAGAAACATTCAACAAACTTCTGGATATGCTGCTTACTGTGTCTCATTCTAAAGTGGATGACAAACGGACAGAGGACACTGCAAGGTGTGGCCCTGAGAAACCCACATATCTGCCATCATTGCTGGTGAGGGAGCTAAAAAGATTCCAATTCCCTTCCAAATCTCAAACTAGTGCTTCTCAAGGACACAACATAAATCTTCTAAAGAACTCTGGATGAACATGACTCTAGGAAATGTAGTTTCTAAGCTTGCAAAATTTGTGGCAAAAAAAATGAACACAAAAATCTAAGGATATAGAGATAAATACTGGTAACTCAAAAGAAAATATATCCCTTGACAACTGAATCAAATTTAAATCACTAATATAGGTATAAGTCATGTCTCAGAGAACTAAAGTTTTGAAGATTTTTTTTAGTTATGTTTGCAATTAAAAATTGTTTCAGGTTTAAAGTGGCTAATGTGCCTCAAATTATTAAAATACCAACCTATGTATCCATGCTTCTGTGTATGTACATGTGTGTGGTTGTAGGTGTATACGGTTTAACCAGTTCATTTTATATAACCTGTTTGTGAACCTTTATTTTAGAGAACATACTTCTCTGAGGAATTACAACAATGCTATGAGTTTACCAAATCAGTTTATTTTCCTAGGTATAGAGCAAAGCTGCCTTTTTGAATCACCTTATACCTCAGTAGGCTCATATCTTTAATTCTCAAGATTAGAAGGGAGCAGGATACAAGATTTACTTACAGAAATCAGTGGCATTTCTTTACACTAACAATGAAATGTAAGAAAAGGAAAGTAAAGAAACAATCCCTTTTAAAATTGCATACAGAAAAATGAAATACTTAGGAATAAATCTGACCAAGGAAGTGAAAGACTTAAAAGCAGACAATTACCAAACATTGACTAAGGAAATTAAAGATGACTTAAAGAAATGAAAAGATATCCCATGCTCTTAGGTTGGAAAAATTAATATTGTTAAAATGGCCATACTACCCAAAGCAATCTACAGATTTAATGCCATTCCTATCAAATTACCCAGGAAATTTTTCACAGAACTAGAGCAAATACTCCTAAGATTTTTATGGAATCACAAAAGACCCAGAATTGCCAAAGCAATGTAAAGAAAAAGAATGAACCTGGAGGAATAACCCTCCCAGACTTCAGACAATACTACAGAGCTACAGTAATCAAAACAGCATGGTATTGGTACAAAAACAGACACACTGATCAATGTAACAGAATAGAGAGTCTAGAAATAAACCCACAAACTTTTGGTCAATTAACCTTTGACAAAGGAGGCAAGAACATATAATGGAGTAAAGACAGGCTCTTCAAAAAATGGTGTTGGGAAAACAGGACAGCTGCATGTAAATCAATGAAATTAGAATATTCGCTCACACCATACACAAAAATAAACTCAAAATGGCTAAAGACTTAAACATAAGACAAGACACTATAAAATTCCTAGAAGAAAACATAGGCATAACATTATCTGACATAAATCTCAGCAATGTTCTTCTAGGGCAATTGACCCAGGCAATAGAAATAAAAGCAAAAATAAACAAATGGGACCTAATTAAACTTACAAGCTTCTGCACAACAAAGGAAACCATAAGCAAAACAAAAACACAACTGACAGAATGGGAGAAAATATTTGCAAAAGATGAGATTGACAAGGGCTTAATTTCCAGAATATATAAACAGCTCTTACAACTTAACAACAACAACAAAAAAACCAAGCAACCCAATCCAAAACTGGGCAGAAGACCTAAACAAGCAATTCTCCAAAGAAGACTTTCAAATGGCCAAAAGGCACATGAAAAAATGCTCAATATCACTAATTATCAGAGAAATGCAAATCAAAACTACAATGAGGTATCACCTCACACCAATCAGAATGGCTGTCATTCAGAAGTCCACAAACCATAAATGCCAGAGAGGATGTAGAGAAAAGTCACCCCCCTACATTGTTGGTGAGAATGTAGTTTTGTGTAACCATTATGGGAAACAATATGGAGATTCCTCAAAAGACTTAAAATAGACTTACTATATGATCCAGCAATCCCACTCCTGGGCATATATCCAGAAGGAACCCTAGTTCAAAGAGATACATGCATCCCAATGTTCATAGCAGCACTATTTACAATAACCAAGACATGGAAACAACCTAAAGTCCATTGACAGATGACTGGATAAAGAAGTTGTGGTATATTTATACAATGGAATACTACTGAGCCATAAATAGAGAATAAAATAATGCCATTTGCAGCAACATGGAGATCATCATTCTAACTGAAATAAGCCAGAAAGAGAAAGAAAAGTACCAAATGATATCACTTATATGTAGAATCTAAAAAAAAAAGACAAACAAACTTATTTGCAAAACAGAAAAAGACTCTCAGACATAGAGAACAAACTTGTGATTACCAAGGAGGGAGGAGTGTGGGAGAAGATAAATTAAGTTAGAGAATTGCAAATACTAACTGATATATATAGAATAGATAAACAAGTTCATACTGTATAGCACAAGGAACTATATTTGATATCTTGTGGTAACTTATGATGAAAAACAATATGAAAACAAACTATGTTCACATATGACTGAAGCATTGTGCTGTACGTCAGAAATTGACACAACATTCTAAATGAACTATACTTCAATAAAAATATACATATACAACCCCCCCAAAACTGGATAGAAGACCTAAACAGACATTTCTCTAAAAAAGATATATAAAAGTGGCCAACAGGCATGTGAAAAGATGTTCAACATCACAATTATTTCAGACACGCAAATCAAAACTACAATGAGGTATTACCTTACACCAGTCAGAATGGCCACCATCACAAAGTCTACAAATAATAAATGCTGCTGAGGGTGTGGAGTAAAAGGAACCCTCCTACACTGTTGGTGGGAATGTAAATTGGTACAGCCACTATGAAGAATAGTATGGAGGTTCCTTAAAAAACTAAAAATAGAATTACCATATTTAGCAATCCCACTCTTGGATATTTATCAGGAGAAAACTCTAATTTGAAAAGATCCATGCACCTGAATGTTCACAGCAGCACTATTTACAATAGCCAAGATATGGAAGCAACCAAAATGTCCACCAACAGATGATTGGATAAAACAGATATGGTATATATACACAATGGAATACTACATAGTTATAAAAAGGAATGACATATGCCACTCCTGGGCATATATCCAGAAGGAACCCTACTTCAAAATGACACCTGCACCCCAATGTTCATAGCAGCACTATTTACAATAGCCAAGACATGGATACAGCCTAAATAAATGTCCATCAACAGATGATTGGATAAAGAAGAAGTGATATATTTATACAATGGAATATTATTCAGCCATAAAAACCAACAACATAACGACATTTACAGCAACATGGATGCTCCTGGAGAATGTCATCCTAAGGGAAGTAAGCCAGAAAGAGAAAGAAATATACCATATGAGATCACTCATATGTGGAATCTAAAAAAAACAAAAACAAACAAAGAAAACAAACAAAACATAAATATAAAACAGAAACAGACTCATAGAATACAAACTTGTGGTTGCCAAGGGGGCAGGGGGTGGGAAGGGATAGACTGGGATTTCAAAATGTAGAATACATAAACAAGATTATACTGTATAGCACAGGGAAATATATACAAGATCTTATGGTAGCTCACAGTGAAAAAAACAGTGACAATGAATATGTATGTTCATGTATAATTGAAAAATTGGGCTCTACACCGGAATTTGACACAACATTGTAAAATTACTATAAATCAATAAAAGATGTTAAAAACATAAAAGAATAAGATAATGAGCTCAAAGGGAGATGAGGAAATAAACATTACAGAAGGTTAGACTGATACCACTCATGAAAGAAAACCATAAATTTCAATTTGCCAACTAAAAAAAACTGATATGATGCCTGTTTTACTGGTCTTTAATATTATACAATACTCTAGAGAAAATCCAACCCAGATATTACCACAAAACTAAAAAATAATAAAAAGGATTAGTAAAAAAAGAAAAAAGGAATGACATAATGCCATTTGTAGCGGCATGGATAGACCTAGAGATTATCACACTAAGTGAAGTAAATCAAACAGCAAAAGACAAATTCCATATATCACTCATATGTGGAATCTAAAAAAGTGAGACAAAATGAACTTCTTTACAATATAGAAAGAGACTCACAGACATAGAAAAAAACTTATGGTTACCATGGGGGTAAGGGAGTGGGAGGGATAAATTGGGATTTTGTATTTAGCAGATACAAACTACTGTGTACAGAATAGATAAACAAGATCCTACTGTTCCTAGCACAGGGAACTATATTCAATATCTGGTAGTAACCTATGATGAAAAAGAATATGAAATATAAATATATATACATGTATAACTGACTTACTATGCTGTACACTAGAAACTAACACAACATTGTAAATTAACCATTGTAAATTGTGATGATTAATCATACACCAATAAAAAATTTTTTAAGGATAAAATGCTTTAAAAATGTAAAAAAAAAGATAGACAAGACGTATCACTTCTTGTCTCAAGTACATATAGTTAATGAAAGTCACATTATATACATATATTTTTAGCTTTCATGACAGGTTCCTGATCCACGTTTTCAAAATCAGCCAGTTTCAAAAGGGAGGAGGGCGTGTTAGCATGCATTTGACTTTAAATGAAGGAACAATAAAAGCTTATATTGTTAATTCATAAAGATTTGGGGGATTTAGTATTCTACTAAATAAAGCTTATTTTACAATAAGGCTTACATTATTATCCTGACTACTGTAGAAATCATCACTGATTTTTTTAAAGTATTGCTGAGTACAGAGAAATGTTGATTAATAATAGTAAATATATTTAATAATTGTCATTTTACATGCTTCCTACTTTTATTATCTCCTCTGTGAGCATCACTGTGCTGAGCACAGATGTGCCATGCTAGATGCCCTCTCTGTGAAATTCTACTTTTTAAAACTGCCTAACTTTTTGCCCTGATGTCATGAAATTTACATTCCATATATATATTTTACATTCATATATTATTTTATATATATTTCATACATATTATCAGTTAAGATGTTTACGGTGGGAACCTCAATTTCAGAATAAGGCTTATTAATAATTCTTTTGGTATAAATGTGAAACTGGCACAACCATTTTATAGTTATATAGAAGCAAAAAAAGACTAAAACACTAGCCCAACAATAATGATGGAAGAGAATCTATGTCCCTTTTTCTGACCCTCACATGCTTTCTATTTTTCAACCTGTATAAGCTTATTCTCTGAAATGTATTTGACATTTGTGAATGAGAGAAAATCATCTCTCCTGGGAGCAAAATGACATTGATAAAATTGGCAGAAACTTGACTGCCATTTCCCCTACTTGAGTAACTTCTTTTCTGACACAGAAAATTCAGTAGTTCTAAATGAAAAAAAAAAACTTAAAATTTCTTCAAAGCAAAAATAGCTTTATATTAAAAGGAGAATCACAATATAAGGTCATCAAAAGAACTGAGAAAAAACAGGATTGTTATACACACACACACATCTGAGTCGTCTCTAAAGGTATAATTAACCGAGATGGAAAAGAGAACATTGCACCAAACCACAAGTAGGTCAGCTCATTTGTGGTTCTCAGCTGCACAGGCTCTGACAGCTGGCTGAATAGTTCTCTCTCTCTCTCTCTCTCTCTCCCTCTCCCTCTCCCCCCCCCTCTCTCTCTCTATATATATATACACACATACACGATATACATAAAGGCTCCAGTGATTTATTGGTCTTTCTCTCCCTAATGGCTCTGATTAAAAAAAAATGAAGAAAACCGACACTTTTTCTTTCTTGCTAAGGAAAAACCTACCTTGGGGATTTTAGTGTGATTATGAAATGCAGTTAGCTAATACCCAAGCCCACAAAACACATTGCTGACTACATTTAAGCACAGAGAAACTATGATTGATGAAAGATACTTTGGCTACTTTATGGACCTATAGATATTTTACCTAAATTATACTTCATAGTTATAGAGCAATTAATTTTTAATATTTTAAAAATTAAATATAGCTTGCCTCCTCACTTAACACCCATAGACAATTTAAACACAGAAATACTGGTATTATCTTCTTTGAAAAATCCTTTTTAAATTTTGCAAGAAAATTCTGGAAAAGTCAAAGGAACCTGCTTTCAGACATTAGCAAATCCTACCACACTTGATTCATGAGACTCATTTGTCCCATTCCAAGGACATTCAGAACAATTCATCACATGTGCCTCCCCTAATTAATCCATTACTTGCAATATTCTGTTGGGGAATATATGCACAATATTAACCTCTGTTTTGGAAAAACTAAACCCTGTACCCTGAACATACTTGAATTTTTTTAAATTGAAGTATAGTTGATGTACAATAGTGTGTTACTTTCAAGTATAAAGGTATTTGGAAATATAGGTGCATGTAAAAAATACTATATATAGAAAGAGATTTTCTTCTATTAGTTTATTACAAGATACTGAATACAGTTCCCTGTGCTGTACAGTAAATCCTTGTTGTTTTATCTGTTTTATATATGACAGTGTATATCTGTTAATCCCATGCTCCTAATTTATCCGTAAATTATCCCTTCTTCTTCCCCTTTCATAATTGTGAGTTTGTTTCCTATGTCTGTCTTTTTCTGTTCTGTAAATAAGTTCATTAGTACTATTTTTAAGGTTCCACATATAAGTGATACCATTTAATATTTGTCTTTCTCTGTATGATTTACTTCACTTAGTCTGATAAACTCTAGGTTCCTCCATGTTGCAGCAAAGGGCATTATTTTATTTTTTATGGGTGAGTAGTATTCCATTGTGTGGAATCTTCTTTGCAAATTCATCTGTCAATGGACCTTTAGGTTACTTCCATGTCCTGGCTATTGTAAGTAGTGCTGCTGTGAACACTGGGGTACATGTATCTTTTCAAATTAGAGTTTTTGTCTTTTCTGGATATGTACCCATGAGTGGGATTGCTGGGTCATATGGTAACTCTACTGTTAGTTTTTTAAGGAACCTCCATACTGTTATCCATAGTGGTTGTACCAATTTACATTCTCACCTAAAGTGTAGGGGGATTCCCTTTTCTCCACACTTTCTTCAGGATTTATTATTTGTAGACTTTTTGATAATGGCCTTTTGTTTTTTCATTGCATTGCTGAATTGTTTGGCCTTTTTGTTTGTTTGTTTGTTTGATATTTAGTTGTATGAGCTCTTTGTTTATTTTGGAAATTAATTCCTTATTGGCTGCATCATTTGTAAATTTTTTTCCATACCATAGATTGTCTTTTTATTTTGTTTATTGTTTTCTTTGCTGTGCATAAGTTTAAAAGTTTGATTAAGTCCTATTTGTTTATTTTTGCTTTTATTTCTTTTGCCTTGGGAGACTGGCTTAAGAAAATATTGCTACAAATTATGTCAGAGAACGTTTTGGCCATGTTTTCTTCTAGAAGCTTTATGATGTCATGTCTCATATTTAAATCTTTAAGCCACCTTGAGTTTATGTTTGTGTAGGGTGTGAGGGAGTTCTATTTTCACTGATTTATGTGCTACTGTTCCACACTTGAAATACTTTATCTCTGAAGTTTTGCTTGTAACCTCTGAGTATTCTGCACTATAGGCATTATCCTATGCTTGTCACTCTTCTCCCAAGAAACTTGCCAATCCGCTTCTACTCAGCTGCCAATATCTTCTTTTTCTCATGTTATATCAGTCTTTGCAGACCCAGCTTTTGTGAAACTACTGCAGTCTCCTTCCTACCTTAATCTTCTGTAGATGGGCTCCTGTTCCCACCACTCAGCTGACAATAGAGATGATTTTTTTTGCTTAGGCCAGTGGAAAATACAGCCTACCTACTACCTGAAACTGGCCAGAGGTGACACTATTATACTCTGTCTCTCATTCATTACTCTTTTTCCTTACATGGTTTTCAAGAAATTACATTTTGATTTCTCTCCATTTGTCTTCTTTCAGAGCTCTTATTCCCAGCAAGTTTTTCCAAGGAAGCTACAAAAAAATCTCTTCTCCCCATGTCTTTCTCTCTTTGAAATATTTATGTAAAAACTACAGCCTGATGACTGTAAAATTTATACATTCAAACAAATAAACATACACATATTTTATAAGCACTTAACCATAACTGTATGTGTATATCAAACTAAACACACTTATAATTGAGTTAATATTTAAAAAGCATATGTAACAGATGCTGGCCTATAGTGAACATATATTTCTTAAAAATATAAATTTTGCAAACAACTATAAGCCAACAAAATGGACAACCTAGAAAAACTTGACAAATTAGAAATATACAATCTCCCAAGATTGAAAAGCAAAAGAATAGAAAATACAAACACACAAATTAACAGCAATGAAATTGAATCAATAATTCAAAAACTTCCAACCAATTAAAGTCCAGAACAAGATGGCTTCACAGGTGAACTCTACCAAACATTTAAAGATGAGTTAACACCCTTCCTTCTCAAACTATTCAAAAAAAATTGGAGAGGAAGGAA